CGGAAGAGTTCTATTAAAATCGCGATAGGGTGCTGCAATTACCGACTGCGCGATACACCCCCGTGCACGAGACGACTCCAAGCTTCGACACCCCCACCCATCCAGTGCCCACTAGTGGATTACGTTCGTTACCGATTCACATAGATAGCTACTCGTAATTCTTTATCAATTTTTCCACCTTTGTTAGGATCCCGAGCATCGGCCGATTTGTTTGCGACGTTTGGAAATAATTTCCAGGTATCCCCACCCGGATCGCGCGATCGTGGCGACTATCCCGAAGACAGGAACCGCAATAGGGAATTTCGCGAGACCGAGGAACCCGGTAAAAGCGGGACGAACGGGAACGACAGTGGCTATTGTCGTCGACCTCGAGGCGCTCGCTTAGCCGCTTATCGCGTTCGTTTTTTCGCAAGGGCTCCTCGCGTCCAGCGAACCGTCGCGATAGTCTTATCGTTGCCCAATCGGCGGCTCACGCTTCCCCTCGGACGCGGAGATAAACGTGTGCCGTGGCCGGAGAACGATAGCTCGCTCGCGTTCCCTCCGCTCCGGGCGTCGGCGCGCGCTCGAGCTCGTGCTCGCGTTCGCCCAGAGCCATCGTATTCAGGGAGGTTCGCTTTTAATTGCGCGCTTCCTCTTTCGACCGGCCTTTTAGACGGCCCGTTAAAGCACTATTAGCGCTGAAAGCGGATTTTTCTGAATACACGGGGCCGCTGGCTTCGCTACTTCTGCCGACGGCTACGTATATGGGCTTTCAGATCGGGCCAAGTAGGCGTGCGAGAAATGGATACCGTGGCAACGGGCGAATTAGAGGGACGACACTCTTTTCCGTGTATCGCGGGAAAAAAATGTTTCAAAGGGGTGCAGGGAGGCCGAGAGGGGGGTCATTGGCCTGTAAATCGGCGTTGCTGGCGAACGCGTTTTTAAACGCGTCGCTGCCAGGCCCCGGGCCGCTCGCGAGCCTACGCTTACCGGCGCATCGCGCCGTTTAGTCGCTGCATCGAGGGACTGCTCTCTTCTTTAATTAGTACTCGCTTCCGGGGAACCAGGGACCGTTTGAAATTTTGGCCGTTGCTCCGCTTTCGCGCTGATTAAGTGCGACTTTATGCGTCGAGGGATTTGCTCGGTTCGCGAGCGAAATGGGACGCGTCGGGCTGTGTCCCGAGGGTGAATAAGGGGTTTTCTAAGTGTCATGGATTTCGCGGCTGGCGGAGGACTTGATTTCGATGGGAATGCAGCCGGCTGTGTTTCTAAAGAGTCGTATAGTCCGGGATACAATGGCTGCGAGCATCGTATCTCCACCGTCGTCGAGCTGTGCCTTAAGAAACCGTTTTTAGGTCAGCTCGCGAGGGTTTCTACCTTACGGAAATTGACCGGGGTAATGTCTCGAAACGAAACGCGAGGATAATCTACCCGAACGATTTAGGATACCTTAATCTCTGGTCTTACCTTCAAACTTCCGATGACGCGTGCCACAGTCAGTCAGCAACGTCATCGCGTTGTCCAAACTCTTGTTCGAAGGCTCTCGAAGCTTCGTCGAGGTGTGGCACAATCACAACGGAAATCGGTCACGCGTCGAGCCATTTCGTGCGAACGCGGCGATGAATAACACGCAACTGAAACAGCAAAACATTCTCGAAAATTAACCACGAGCCTGTCCGAACCTGACGATGTTTACGTTCCACTTCCTGCCTATGACCTACAGTTCGTATACTTTAGACTCGATGATACTCGCGTTTGGTCTGAAATTCTTGCCACCAGGCTCGCGCCATATCTTTCGTTCTCTATGTAACGCGATGTCTTGCGATTCGCGCGAGAGGCTCCGGATAAATCAAAGATTCAATTAGCGACCTCGAAGTTACGCAACGAGCTACAAAAGAGGTTCGTACCTTGCCCGTCCGGAGCCTATTACACTTTCAAATGGCGAGCGAGCGAATTACGTTTTATTTTACGCTTCGCCGTGAAAACTTGCCAGCTTCTTTGAGCCGCTGATCTTTGAATCCAATTAATCGTCGACACTGCGTTTCGCGATACACTCGCGAGCAAAGTAACTTTTGAAGCACGGCCTTCTTCTTCGGCTCTCGGAGGCCCGCGTGGGCGGCGACGGCAGAAAGCGAGCTCGCGATGAAGGCACTCGCGGCTTTCTACTCGCGTTTTCTTTGTTTCTACCTGGCATGCTACGGTAACGTGCACCGCAAAAGGTAGAAGCTTTTTCGTCCCGGTCGTAAGAGAGATCCGCCACTCTTTGAGAAACCGAGATCCGCTTTCAAATAAACCGCGTTCAAATGATTCCGTGGCATTTGACAAGCGGCCAATCCGCGTTATCCGCGATTTTTCGTCGTTTCGAATATTTCCTCCAGTCGAGGTTCTTCCGATTTCGAAGGATTCGAGGTCCATCGCGGCAAAGACGAGCGAGGTTTCTCGAATTCCCGTCGGATCTCACGACTCGCTGGACGGTAGAAACGGTAGAAACGGTAGAAACGGTTGATGTCAAGGTTCTACGAAATATTCGCACAATGACTATCGAGGTTTCTCGAATTCCCGTCGGATCTCACGACTCGCTGGACGGTAGAAACGGTAGAAACGGTTGATGTCAAGGTTCTACGAAATATTCGCACAATGACTACTCTTTCCGTTAATCGATGCTTAACGAATCGAGTCTGAATGCTGTCACTGTGATAGCTTCCGGGATTCAAAGCCTCGTTGTCTCGGTGGTATCTCTATTCGATATTTCGACTGGCTCGCGCGGACTCGTGCGTTTGATGCAAAAGCACGCGGAATGGCAATAAGTCGGAAACTTTATGGGATATTTCGTGGATTTGAAACGCGGCTAATCGCGTAAGAGACAGAGGGACGAATCGACGCACCGAATCGAAGGATTTGCAGCAGGAAAGAGCAGGTGTGCTGGTCGTTTCGGAAGCGGTTGGACCGGAACGCCTGACGCGTAAAGATCCCTCGTTAATGGAGGGCGCGCGAGGACAGGCGGCGCAAAGAGGGTTCGTAGGTCGGGGTCGGTAACGAGGCACGCAGCGGGAAGAAAAAGTCGGTCGTGGCGTAGCCGGGTAAAACGCGAGTCCGCGGCTGACGAGCGGCAAAACCGTGGCGAGAGGAAGCTGGCCGAGGAAACGGAGTGGCGTGGCATCGGGAGCGACAACGATAAAGTGTCCAGCGGCTAGCGGAGCGACAACGAGACAGGGCCGAGGAAGAGGGTAGGGGAGTATCGGGTAATAATAAGAAGAACAGGGAGGAAACAGGTTTGGAGAAGAATAGCCGGGTCGCGGTGGCGAAGGACGGGATGGAAAGAAAAGAAGGGAATAGCCAGTCGGAGCCTCGTTCGCCCTTCGACCCTCTGGTTCGCGATGTCACGGTGGGGGAGGTAGCAACGACGAGAAGTTTTTCAGGGCCTTTCCCGGCGAGAGAGTCGGGCGAGATCGGCGGTTTGAAAGACGGGAAGAAAAGTGGTAGCTGGTCGGGCGGGGGTGGAGAATGGTCTACCGAGGAAATAAAGAAAAAGAAGAAAAGGGTGGAGGAAGCGGGGAAAGACAGCGGGGGATGATGTTCCAAGCCTATGCAATCAGCAGCCGCCGATTGTTTGGCGCCCGGGCGCAACGATCCGTGCACGGCACTGTCTGCCTTTTCGCGCTGCCACTGCACAGCAGCAATGCTTGACGATTATGCACTCGCTTCTCCGCCGCCAGATAATTAGGAGTTAATTAACTAATGGCCCTTTATGCGTACCCTTCTTGCTCCACGGCCTCTCTTTCCTTCGTTCGTGCACCACCATTCCGTGCGAGCGCGCTGCCCGCTTTCCTCTCTTTCTCGCTCTCGGCCTCTGCTCTTTCGCCTCTTCCGCGCTCTCTTTCCTTCTCTCCAGCCACCCCCCTGCCCGTTGCATCCCGACGTCGACCCCTTTAGACCCCTTCTCTCGTGTCTCTCCGCTCCTCGTCATTTTCCAATTCCCCTCGCTGGCACCAGCGTCCTTTGTGCTCCTCCTTAGACGCGGAGGAACGTTTGAATGCCAACCACCGGGCCGCCACCGGTCCGTGGCTTTTTTGTCTTCCCCGCGAGGTTTGATATGTCGTAATGGCATGACGCACCGCGACGCACCGAAGGAAAAAAAAAAAAAAAGGCTACACTCGCTCCTCTGATTTCGCGGCCTTTTGTCGCGCGAGACCGAGTCGCGCGAGCCTCCTGACGCGCCGATAACCCGCGTCGAGCTACATCTCCGTCGTCCTCGTAGTCGTCGAACATAGCATCACCTTCCAGGACACCGTCCAGCCGTCGCGATTCGCGCGATCCACTCGATCCTCTCTCGAGATCGACGCTACATCGGTTCGGAAAGGAAAGGAAAAATCGTTCCACCCCCAACCCCGTCTTCGTCCTCCTGCCACCGGATAACGAGGCAGTCCAGGCCTCCGCCGTTACGCGCGGCGTGCGTCGGTGGGTTCGACGCAGCCTTTTCGATTAATCAAGCGTGTCTCTCCGCGCGGTGACGCGCGACAAAAGCTCGTCGACCGGGCTTGACGCGCTTCTTGTCTGGCTCGACGCCTCGTCCTTTCGCGATTTACCCGCGCGACGCCGTTCCTACGCGGCGTCCCGGCGCTCGAATCTCGCTCGCGCCTTCTCGCACGTGGGAATTCGTCGCGCGACAATGCAACCACCGCGCGGATATTTTGTAAAGCGTCGTCGCTGGCGCGCTTTGTCACGGGCAAGGCCCACAGGGCGCCACGGGTTTCGCGCCTCCGCTCAATGCCGCGCGTTCGCCGATCGCCTCCGCCGGGAATCGGCCATTCAATTTTATAATTACGAAATTGCTAATGGAGCAGTCGACGGCCGCGTACGCGACGACACCGGTCCCGCCTGGGGATCCCTTCCGCGTTTTCATCGTAAGAGGGAGAAAGAACGGGGACGGTTTTTCGAGCGGAACCACCGCGTTCCCTCATTGTTCGCCAGCATCGATCCCGTTTTCTCCAGATGGCGCTGCGTTCGCGCGCCATCACTGTGCGTCTTCGAATGCTTGGGTTACTGGCTAATGACGATCTCGCGAATCCTTTTGTCACGATTGTCGCCTCGATCGTTGCGTCGAATATCGTATTTTTTAAATTTAAAAATTATCCCAAGAAATTATTTGGCATTGCTTCGAAAATGTCGCAAATTTTCCTCTAAACTTTCGCTCTGACATTTTTATAGGAATCCTCCATAATTTACTGCTACTCGGCGTACCGCCCCCACGCGAAATTCTCCTCGACTTCTACCAATCTCTCTTCTCAGAAATTTCTCGCGAACTGCGCTTTACCCGATAACCAGCCGCGAGTTAATTAATACCGTAAAATCGCTGCGACGATTACCAGGGCCGTTTCGTAACGCGAATATTACAACGCTTTAACGCTCGCGGTTTCGGATTACGCAACGCGCGGAAGGTGCATCGCGGCGAGCTACAATTCCGCGACACGTGGCGCGATAATCGTTATCCGATCTCGCCGTTTATTATTATGTAATCCCCCGCGTTTGCCGACGAGCGTTCGCACGGTTCAGCCTGGCCGGGGGGTTGATAAAACTTCTTTCAGGCTTCTTTATCGGGAACGCAGCCGTATATGGCTTTGAAGAAGTGGATCGAGGCCACGCGAATAGGCCTGATCGAACGTAATAATTTCCCCGTTTCCATTTCACCGGGTGAATCACTCGTCGATCGGTGACATCGAAAGCGGACAATCGACTTGTACGGCACGAAACGTGAATACGAAATCGTACCTCGTCCGAGTAATTCGCTTCTGTCTGTCGCAGCCGAAAGGAAGACCTCGCTGGGCAAGGACTGGCATGGTTCCTGTTTGCGTTGCGAAAAGTGCAACAAGACGTTGACACCTGGCAGCCACTCGGAGCACGAGGGCAAACCCTACTGCAACCACCCGTGTTACTCGGCTCTGTTTGGACCTGGAGGTAAGCTTTCACACTTTCACTGTCAGATTGGTGTACATGACCGAAATATACGACTAGCCACGGTTTTTCCTGTGACACCACGGTGGTCATTGACGTCCGGAGCGCTCGTACTACTCCAACTACATTGAGCAACGTTGAATGAAAATTGACAGTCAGTGCATTTCGAATATAATCGCTAATTAGAAGATACTCTGAAATAGAAAGTGTCTCATTGAACGATTAAAAAATTTTTATTACAAGATCAGAAATATATTACAACGAATCTCGCATCCAGCGGTGCACTCCCGTGGCGTCCTCGGGGAAACACGCGATTTCGGCGTGGCAGTCAAAGGCTTAACTAACGTATCACGGGGAACGTGTTTACTCGGGGTTACGAGAAATCTTCTAACTCTGACATTTACTCGTAGAATCCATTCTGTCGTGGACCTCGTCGATCCTATCTTGTTTTCATCCATTCTATTTATACGCGAATATGCTATAGAACGCGACCGACATATGGGGGGGTAAGATAAGTATCTGCACTCGCGTGCTTCTGCTTTTCAAATATCTCACGAGTTCACCTCGATTCTTGCCGATTTCTTGATCTCTCGAGTAACAACGCGCGGTAACAGTTAGAAGTGAGATTCTCGTTTTCGTTAAATGGATATTGTAAGTATCGACGTATTTTTTGAATTACAAGAGAGGAGAAATTCCTGGAATAAGTGAAAATAAATCGAAGATGGCAGAGTGTCTTTTTACTCTCGAAAAATCAACGAAATTGGCAAGAGTCGTAATTTCATACGGATAAATCGTCTTTGATGTTTTTCGCTTAATTCGTCGTGGAATGGATTAATATTTTTATTCGCTAAACAGCTCACGAATACTTTGTAGAATTATCGTTGTACCTGTCGCGTGTCGTTTCATCAGTGCTCGAATTTCAAACTCGCGACGAGCAGGTAATTTTATCATTGACGTTTTTAGAAAATTATTTCAGCGCGTGCAACGAAATTAAAGGATTTCCTTGATTCCGTATCCTCTTTCCTCCAGCAATCTCGATGGACTCCGTTGAAACATTTATTCTTGCGCATTGCAGGTTTCGGTCGAGGCGGAGCCGAGAGTTACGTTTACAAAAAGTGAAAAGCCTGGACTACGTGGGCGCATGTAATACTTATCGTTAATCGAATCGCGTTACCTGTACCGTAGGAATTAAATTTAATTGTTAATAGACACCGTGGATCGTCTACGAGCGAAGTACAATATTTTCGTAGGGATTACGAAACGATCGCAAAGTGTGGAATACTTGAGATAATTAATTTTCTACAACGTCGAGTACCGCATAATGTATCTATTTACTAGTTACAAAGTTGAATAAAAAATGTAATAATGCTAGTTTAAGGGAAAGTAGCCTACGTTCTCGTTGATTGATAAGGAAGTAATCTGCGTGCCATTACCTATCGGTGATACGTAAAATCGTGGCACCGTTTCGCGAAGTGGACGCGCGAGAGGCAAGATGGCAGCTCTTGTACCATTTGTACCCTCGAAAAATCAATTTTAATTCTTCCGAATTTTTGGGTCTACTTTCTCAACGCGATACATATATATATATAATTTTTGTTCTCGTTATCCGTTTTAATTGGCAATTAAAAAGCGCAAGAACGGTTTTGCCTGCAATTATCGCGTTACTTGTAAAACTCGTCTAATTGCAACGCCGTTCTCCATTATTTCATACGCGTGTTTGAATGTAACGCAATTTTGCTTCCATGCGGGCAAGAGATAAGAGGGACCAACACGAGACGAACTTCATATAAACCTCATATTTATTTAAAAAGGATGTACAGAGTTTTGTTTGCAAGTATCAACAGCGAGACTCGGCAAGAGCGGCGCACGGAACAAGAATATCACACGGGACGAAATGACAGCGAAATGAAAGAAAAAGAAAAACAAAAAAAAAAAAAAAAA